CAATTTTATTCAAATTTTTTTCCCAACACAACATGTCTAGTTCCACTTATTTTCATTTATCTTACACAATCAAATATCTAGGCAGACACCATTTGAGGGCAGACATTATTTGATGTCAATATACAAGGATTTGTTGCAGAAATTTGTTGATGAATTGGTGCTCCCTCTTCTTTGTACACCGTTGATGAAATCTGACCCTTCCTGTCACCCTGCGATAATTCCCTTTTATATATGTTAGTGAAAATACTATGAGAAATGTAGAAGAGAAATGCCTTTTGATAAGTGTATTTCATACATATAATTACTTCTTTTTCCCCACATGTTTTGCTTTGCATTCTGAGTGTTAAGAGTTGATTGTTGAGAAATCATTTAATACAATCATGTTAAGGACAAAAATCACATATATAAATTGATAGTTCGAAATTTATACCTGCGGAAAATATTTTGTGTGTGTGTGTGTGTGTGAATATTGCCGGTTGGATCTTCCCCTCCTTATTCCTCAAAATAATTGGCCATCAATCGGGCAACCCAAAAACAAATGGAGAGGAGAGGAGAGGGGACGTAGCCATTATATAGGAAATCATAAAGTCGGCCAATTATCGACTCTAACTCTAATAAGGGTTTATTTAATTCCGGCCCACATACTTAAAAATTACCACATTATAAATAATAAAGCTTGTAAAGTGTACAACGGCCCATGTGATCACAAATATATTGAGCTTAACCACAGTATCATTACAAACCATACATCTAACTCGTAAAATTCGCAATCAAATGAAAGCTCACATAATAGGATTATTCTAACATTATCCCACTTGGGCAAACATTTGATTACTAGAGAACAAAACTTTTAACATCTGGGTCAGACTACATAGGTGGCCACACAAGTATGGCTGCAATGATAACATCTTACACAACATGATCCAATCCAACAAGAATGTTAACATTGAACATGGAAGTCGTTACACCAATCAAACGATCTAAGGCCACTCCACAACTATAAATGCCAACATCCTTATCAACATGGATCCCCAACCTCCAACCAATGTGGTAGTATTCAAACGATGTAAGACCACTCCATAGTTACAAATGCCAACATCCTTATCGAAAACATGGATCCCCATCCTCCAACTAATGTGGTAGTATACAATATGAATTTAGTACCAAATGTGATAAAAAACTGTGCTAATTCATATCGGTTCTCAAAATGCTTCTAATCAAAATGAAGCCACATGTCTCTAAAAGAGACTCATCTTATGTCTTTAATTGTCGTATCTCGAGATTAAAATAATATCATAATAAAAGACATAAGTCAAATGCATGCTCAAAATAATTTATGGATATGGGAAGATATATTTTATTATCGGAAGTGGCTGTACCCGAAAACATATGGGTTGCCTTACATAAATAACTCCCACTAATCAAAAACATCAAAAGTTTTCACAATAAAAATATAAGCAACATGTGTCGTAAAAACTTTAGGAGCGAGTCTCTTAGTCAAAAGATTTGCAAACATCACCTCTGTATTAATATGCTCTATTTTTGTCTACCATTCCTTGACTCTGTCTCTGACCACCAAATATTTGATGTCAATATATTTCGATCCACTGGAACTTTTATTATTTATTGAAAAGAACACTGCTACGCTATTTTCACAATAAATAGTGATTGACCTCGAGATAGAGTCAACAACTTTCTGCCCAGAAACAAAATTCCTTAACCAAATGGCTTGAATTGTAGCTCCATAACATGTCACAAATTCAGCATGCATAGTAGAAGATGCCACTAGAGTCATGCAGCAACGAAGGTCAAAATGACTAAAAAGGAGGCTCAAGGGGTTGTGGAGAAGAGGAAAGGAAGAAGAGGAGGGCCAGGAGGCTCAAGGGGTTTTGATTACTAAGGTTTTGTCTTGAATTGTTATTGTCTTCGCCAGAGTTAATGTTTTGACTTGTCAAGTGTTCGGTGAAATCCCACAAACGTACGGGATTGTGGACAAGTACTAATTTAGAGAAAAAAGTATAGTCCCACAAGAAATAAGTTTTAAATTGAAATGTGATAACTCGATATCATATTCAAATGTAACGTAATCAAAACAGATTTGTTTTGATCATTTCTAAGTTATTCTACTAATTATTTAAAGTTGGTTTGTATGATATAAGAGATGAATTTGTTGAACTTACGAATTCACCTATCGTCATCTTATTTCCAATTCTTGACCTACGTAACCTAGTGTGATTTGTGTATTTATGATAATCAATAATTTAATTTTATCTATGTTTTCCAAAGTAAGTTAAACTTATCTTAAGCACTACTTGTTCATATTCGTATTTCGAATTCATAGGTGAAGTAATGCATTAAAGTATATGATCATTTAGATGATTGCCATACATGTTATTCTTAATATTTATTGTCCGTACGTTAATATTGCAGTGTTATGACTTATTATGAACCTCACATAACCACAACATGCAACTAATTATCTAATTGGTAATCAAGCAATCAAGTAATGAGATAAGCATGCAAGATGAATCAAGTACACAAAATTACACTAAGTACTTTGTCTATGAATTAAAAATAAGTAAAAACGGCTTTCATCTTCATGCAACACAAAGGAGAATAAACCTAGCATGTTTCTAATGATTTTATACAAAGATATATGAAAAAGTCATCACCCGAAAAAATAAGTAAATACAAGAAGAATATATGAAATCAATTTCTTGTCCTTAATCTTCAATCTCAAATCTGGAATCTTCAATTCTTGATGTTAATTGCCTTGTATCTCGTTGCTAGACTTGTTCTCTGCATAAGAATGTATGGTGGTGCATTTTCTGCCTCTCAAAATAGATTAAATTGCGGCCACAATTAATTCTTTCCATAAAGAGTTTTGAGAAAAGAAGGAAGTTGGCCCGACATCCCAGAATTATCCTATGCGGTCACATGGGGTTCTGTGCTGCGATCTCGTAGTAATGTAATTTGGTCAATAAACTATGGAATATTTCTTCATTTTTCGCTCAAATGCCATTCATTTCTTTCAATTTCACATCCAAGCATCCAGTTTCACATAACGAATAATGTATATATAAGAAATTAAGCTATAATTTATCAAAAGTAATCCTAAGTATTCATAATTAACAGTCTAGATAAGTGTATTAACCATCACAAAATATTTTTGTCCTTGCAATTATCTAGTCACAACATTCAAGAAAATTTCTAGGGAAAAGGAAGGGATAGATAGTGTTGAGGGAACTCTTGCCTGACTTCTAGCTTATATACTTCTTGCTTGTATTGGTTGTCTAAGACGTTGTTGAAGTTAGTAATATAGACCAACGACGTCATCTACAAATATTTGACAAAAAAATGTTCACTCCATTATTAAAGAAATGACGAAGTTAAATTCATTTGAATTTGGTTTTGTGGTTATCATAAACTTCGTGTCGTCATAATGATAATATACTACATGAAAAATGGTCATGTCTACATGCTTTCAATAAGTTACCATGATTGTTGCTCTCTTATCTATTCTTAACATTTCTAAATCCTCTCTTGCAACAGATATACTTTTGGCAAACCAAACCATTCGTGATGGGCAGATTTTAGTTTCTGAGGGACAAATATTTGAGTTGGGATTCTTATCCCCAAGAATTTCAATAATAAGTTCTTACGGATAATTACATGAACTGCCAAGTTTTTTTCAATTTAGGTTATGTGGCATCTGACATTGTGGTTAATCTCATTCTAAATTGACTATTTTATTGCCTTATCGGCAAAATAATGAATTGTTGTTGTTTTTTCTGCAAATAATGAATTGTGTAGTATATCCCAAACAAGCACTTAATATTATATATGAGTTTATTACATTGACCTTAAATTTCGAACATGCATCCTAAATTCATGTAATAACAATTCTGTAGTGATGCAAGTTGAAAGTATTATACAACAAATACCCATATTGTCGCGAAATAGTATGTGTAACAATTTTAAATTGTGCAACAATTATACGACGTTGCAGAAATGATGATGCAAATTTTTTTCTGTTCAAGTGCAAACACAACTTGTCACATAGAATAATATTTGATGTCGCAAAATAATATTTGGAATGATTTTATGTGTTAAAATAAAATCCATGACATATATATAATATAGATAAAATAATTAGGCAACAATTATACATTGTCGAAGCGACGACCTCTTTGTATTGCAAAATAGATTTAGCTACGTACAAACACAACCTGTCTATAAACGAATGTCTATTACTACACAACGATAATTTGCAATATAATTTTATATATTGTAAAATAGAATACGCGACATATATAGATAATTACCAAATAAATCAGACAGTAACTATACATCATTACACAAATGACGACTTGAAAAACACCCGGTGCTGCGAAATAAATTTATCTTCAAATTCAACTTTTTACATATTAAATTGTACTGCAAATATCCGGTATATGTTTTTACGTTTGATTTGTATGATAATTACAAATTACTGTAAGGTAGAAATAGATAGTCTGAAAATAAGGTGCATTAATCACAGACAGCAAGCGCTTCAAAAGGCAACACAGGTTCGTAATTTCACTCTGATTTTGTGCAATACGAAGTAAAAGACAAACCATTCGAGTTAAATAAAATTCAACACAAAAATCTCAGTGTTCATTATTTGACATATTTTTATTATTATTTTTTTATGTTAAACTATTCACCTATTGGGAAGTAAACTGTCAGCAAGAAAATTTAATAAAATATGTTCACTATTTGACTTTTTCAATGATAAATTATTCAAACAGTACTCTATAAATTGGAAAGAGCTAAAAAAAAACAATAATAATCCAATTAGAACAACACCCTCCAGAGTTTCAAGACAAAACAACTGCTTATTGACAACTGAAACCAAAGATAAAGTTAAGCGCTTTCACAATTAATTAAACAACACCATCCGCAGTTGTTGCCAGGGAGCCATCACTTGAGGTTGAAGGATTTGTAGCAGATGAAATATTCTAATCCTTTTTCTCGCTCTTACCCCATAGCACCAGATACAGACCAATCACAATAATAATAGCTCCTGCAACCCTGGAATAATATATAGATCTCTTGCTCTATTATATAGATGCCCATATTTAGGATCAAGAAAAAGAAATAATATACTTGTATAGTTAAAATTCTTATTTCGAGCAAAATTTGACATTGATTTATTTAAGTTTTAGGATTTAAGTCATAAAAACTCGTAAAAGAAATGTATTTAATTAGAATAAAAGAAAATGGTCGTTGGATATTTCCTTCCAGAAAGTGTAGTTGGCTGCTTAAGTAAAGCAGTGCCATTTGTTCCAAGTTAAAATTGTCATTTATATTGTAGATACTGAGACAAGAATACTTACTTTCCCAAGTCCAATTCATCTGCAAAAATGAAAGAACCCATAACAGCAACAATCACCATAGTTAAAGGATTAAATGATGTTACAAAAACTGGTCCTTTTTGCTTCATTACAATTCCCGCGATATAATATGCAACTCCTGAACAAATTATTCCCTGCACCAAAAGCGTCTTGTTTAGCGACAAACTGACTAATAGTCTTTTGATTGGAACATTAATACATCTTGCAGTATGTATGCATGTATTTGGCTAATGGAGTATACATCTTGCAATAGAGTCTTCTATCAAAGTCCTATAAGGTATGCATGCTAGAGTTTAACAAAAAAATAAGGGGTTAATTGGGTATACAGTCCAGAAATCTCTTATATTTTCTCTTATTCTATTTATTAATAGACTCTATGCTTTCCGCATAATTGGTCATTGCATTTGCTTGAAATGTTGGTGGCATAAAGTTACTATATGCTAATGATAAAATACAATTTAACATAGGATCTATATCGAAAGTGCTGATGCATGCTAATGTTTGTTCCCAAGTCAAAGATCTAAAAACTTACGCCGTAAATATAAGCTAATAATTTGATATCCAAGTGTATAGACCAGATTGCAGCATTGCCTCTCTCTATCACAAGGGTGGTTATAGCGCTTTCTACTGTAGCCACAGTACATATCAGAGTCGTGAGTGAGAGCTCAAAATTGTATGGCTTTAGTGACTCAAGCATGTCTGCCTGCAAAATCGAATAAGAAAATGTTTTTAGTGGTCAAAATTAGCTTAGGTTGCCCTTGCATTTTTCTGCAAAGGGAAGTAGAGTCTCAATGCCATCTCAATCTGGTTAGGCTTCTATCCGAGAGTGACAAGGGTACAAAATTGTGGCACATATGCATTTAGATAGATAAAATAATCATTAAAAGATATAAATTTAAGAAAAATGTTAATCAAGGCAAGGTCTAAATGGGTGCACAAAAAAGTGATGGTAGCAGAAAGGGAGATTTTCTTACCTGAAGAATGTGAAAGTAAGCCCAACAAAAACAAGCGGTTAAGATCATGAAAGCGCCTAAAATGGGATTCTGGGGATTTATATGAGCACTGGTTGTGTCTTTGGTCCATGACAAGTCAATAACAGGTCCTTTTATAACCGTCATAACCATAGCTCCACCAAATGTCACTAAAGTTCCAAGCAACTTAGCATGACCGCGTAAGCTTCTAAAATTCACATTCTCTTGCCTGGAAAAATGAGATAATGAAATTGAATTCCCATTTCTTTTGGCATATGATATGTGCATAACATTAGTATATAAATTCCTCAATATAATGTATCCATTAATATATAACAAACCATCCTGTGAAAATGGTAAATACGAGGAATAGAAGATCTTCCAACATAGACAAAGACAAACAAATTAATCTTTTACAACTTGAAGTTTAAGAAAATTGAAATTAAAAGATGAAAATGATTAAAGATCAGCCAAATATGAGGTGAAATACCTTAATATCCATGATAACACAAATGTTATGACAGGAAGAACATTGTACAGTGCTGTTGCAAAAGTTGCTGTTGTATGTTTCATTCCAGTGTAATACAAGTCCTGCTCAATAACCCTGTGACAAATGTTATGTTTAACGAAACATATACACATTTCAACTAATTAAGAATCAATATAACTCTATCCTACATAGTGTTCTTGTATTTACCCTAATAAGCCAAGTAAAATTATCTTGTAGAGCATGGATAATGTCATCCTTGGCCTATTAGTCCTGTCAAAAAATGATCAGTTAGCTCGTGAAGAATTTCATGTTATTATGCATGTTCAAATGGGAGATTGTTGGAATATTGTGTACTAACATAATCATAATTCGAGCGCCTAATTCTGTGTAATCTGTACGCAAGCCTAATTCTTATTTAGAGTCGTGCAAGCCCAATTCTGTGTAATCTGTACGCATTGAAGGTATATATAGAATTATAGTCTTTAAGAAGGAATTACAGGAAAATCTTGATGTAGTTCTTGTTTACTGTTTTTCATTTTCTGATCTTTTATTTTTCTAAATCCAATGTTGTAAGAACCCTAAAATATGTTTTATCACTCTCTTCCACCGATTTTGTTCCCTTCTGTTGTGATTTCGGCAACAATAAAGGATCGTATTCATCTCCAAATCTTAGATGTATGTCTAGTCGTGGGGTATTGATACCCAATAAATTCGAGTAATGATTTAAAACAGATGTCTCATAATTTATCGATACCATGGATTTGGCTCGATCCGAAAATAACCAACACTTTTTGGGGCCCAAGTAATGGCTATTGGGATGCGTTATTAGTGTGTGGTTTTGGATAGATGTTGGCCTATTTACTTGCTATTAATTGACAGCCCATGAGAAGAGAGTTTGGCCCAATTATGTGACCTAGTGTTGAGTGAGATTCAACCATTGTTATCTCCTCCTCTTCTTCTCCTCCTCCTCCTCCTCCTTCTACCATTGTGGATTGTTAATACCACCACCATTAGAGTCTCTTTTCTGATGTGACATTGTGGTAACCAAATTGTTGGTTTGGTTTTAGGTCAAGCTTAGGTGGCATTTGTTTGATTTTTTTTTTTTAGCCCAAATCAATATTTCTCGAAGATTTAACAACATTATTATTTATATAGATTAACATGCTTTCAACTGCGTACCACAAGATGTACTTGTATCCAAATGATTGAAACTATATGAGAAAATTCAATTTAATTAGCATTTTAACTATGCATAAGACTCTTTATAATCAATTGAAGAGGGTAATATAAATTCATTTAAATCTTGCGTGTGTGTGTGTGTGTGTGTGTGTGTGTGTGTGAGAGAGATAGAGAGAGAGAGAGAGAGAGAGAGAGAGATATCTTGCGTGTGTGTGTGTGTGTGTGTGTGTGTGTGTGTGTGTGAGAGAGAGAGAGAGAGAGAGAGAGAGAGAGAGAGAGAGGAACCGACCTACCTTTCAAATATTAGGGCAAAAGGGGCAAATGTCACGGTGGCAATGGCGTTCCGGTAGACTGCAAACGTAAAAGGACTCATTCCCTTAGCTAGAGCAGACTTCGCAATAATAGCCAAACCTGCAAACGCAAACCGCAAGAACACAACAGCCAATATTAAATACTTGGAGCCCTGAGTTGATGGCGACGCTTCCTGGCTTTGTTCTTCAGGGAAGAAGCCACCAACTCCAAAAGTTGCCATGAAAATCAACAGGGATTTTGATTGCTAGGAACTATAAATCTTGATCTGCTTCTTAATCTTATAAGGTGAAAAATTCAAGTCATGAAATAGATCTTCGACTCTCAGCGTAAAAACCGTGTAAGAAATGAGATAATCTGAAATACAATCTAATGATCTATGACTTATGAGACAAGAAACAACTTTTTTGCGTGTATTAATTATTTATATTGTTTGATAGAGGAGTAATGCTATTCATCCAAAGTCTATATGGCAATTACATGGCATTAAATGATATATTCATTTAAATACAAAGTCACATGACTCATTTAATTGAGTATATCATTTAATGTCATGTAATTACTACACAAACTGGGGCTCAATCCCAGTGGAGATGAATAACATTATTCTTAATAGAGAGTTGTTTAATCACGGTTAGGTGCCACTACATAAAAACCGCGGCTTGTGGCTTGAAGGAAAGGTTCCATGCATATATGTGGAGATTTTGGTACCCAAACATTAAAAAGAGTTTTTTTGAAATAATAATTTTTTAGAGAATGTGTGGTTAAAAAATATGAAAAAAATTGGATTTATTTGCAATATTTATTGTGTGGACGTGTGGTTGGAAATACAAGAGCTTATTGTATAATAATCAAGCCACTATGAGAAAAAAAGAAAAGAGAAGAAAAGTTCGTTGAGAGACTGTAAGGTATTTGTAGATTGACCTTTTCGTTAACGAATTATTTCACCTTTTCTGTGGCCTAAGTGAGTTTGCCGAATAACGTAAATTTGTGTATTTCTCCTTTTACATTGTTTTCCTGCTAGGATATGGTAGACCTGCGAAGGGTCATGTCCATGTGAAACATGTAACGTTGCAATAGAGTTGGGAAAAACTAAAATGGAGGATTTGGAGACCAATTTTGGGAGCTAATTGTTACCAAAAGATGTCGTACCTAATCTTGCTCCAGCATGAAAGCTCCATTACAGGGACATATCAACGGGTGGAAGCTAACGCTAAACAAATGAATTAATTATTGATCTTCCATCTCACCTTGAAAAAACATATGAGACAATGGGTTCAAGTAGGGAAGAAAGAGGAAAAATGTTCTAAGACGAGAATAATCTTTCCTTTTGAAACAAATTGACTACATTTAACGGAGAAGTTTTATTAAGAATGATGGCTAGCTCAGGATGGAGCTAATGTCAGCTAGCTCCATCCAGATGGAGCTAGAGCAACTAGCTCCATCCAGCATGGAGTTAGTGGCTAGCTCCTTCCAGCCACTAACTCCAACTGATTTCCTTGCTGGTAATTCTTCCATATTTGGTACAATGCTAGCACTAACTTTCTGTTGTATTTTTATCCCAACACTTTCCTTAAAATCAGGGGCTAACAAACTCCTTGTAGTCTCTAGAATCTTCCTTTGTAATTATTTATACCACATTGATAATGAATGAATGAAGCTGAGCTAAATTATCATTTCCTTTCTTGCATTTCAACTTGGTATCAGAGCCCCCAATAGCAAACGTCAGTAATGCTCCACAAAACACAGAAGGAAACTCAGCTCGTACATCCCTATCCAGCAAAAACTCTGCTTCAATGCAAGGAAGCCCAAACCTCTCGCCATTTGGTGTTAATCTAACTCAAGTTGTATCAGTCAAGCTTGACAAAAATAATTTCTTACTATGGCAAAACATGATACTGCTTATTATTCGTGGACATAGCCTTGAAGGCTACATCCTGGGGATAAAGCCATGTCCTTCAGAGTTCATTGGAACCCAAGTTACTGGTGAAAGTGGAACCAACATCGAAATGACAAAAAATTCAGAATATAACCAGTGGATGTCTACAGACCAATTGCTCATGGGATGGCTCTACTCTTCTATGACTCAAGATATTGCTATGAGAATTATGGGTGCAAAAACCTCAAATGAACTATGGACAACTGTGAAGGAAAGTTATGGGGCTTAAAATAGATCTTGAATTATCTTTCTCACTGGTGAACTTCAAAAGGTAAGGAAAGGCAGCCTAAGTATTGATCAATTCCTGAACAAAATAAAGATGCTGACAGACAACTTGGAGGTTGCTGGGAAACCTATTCCCCATTCTGATTTGATTACTTAGGTCCTAGCAGGCTTAGATGAAGAATACACCCACATTGTTGTTCAAATTCACAACAGAGACAACATTACTTGGGGTGAGCTGCAATCAACACTAATGACCTATGAAAGTAGGCTGGAACATTTTACAACAATGATAAATGAAATGGCTGGAATCAGTCTTGATAATACCTCAGTTAACTTTACACTCAAAGATATGGCTCAAACTATCCTCACTTCAGAACTCACAGGCCAGTCATCAATGGAAGATCCTCTAACTATTTCAGAGGTGGAAGACGAGGAAGAAATAGAGGAGGTTATTTTAATGGAGGCGATAGACCTACCTGCTAAGTGTGTGGAAAAACAGGACACAAGGCCAACATCTGCAACTTCAGATTTGATGAAAGATACACTGGAGCTCCACCAAATCAGAGGTTCAACTACAATCCCTCACCAGCAGCCTATATTGCTTCCCCTAGCACTTTGAATGACCCAGCCTAGTTTGCTGATACTGGAGCCAGTAACCACATTACTGCATATAAGCAAAACCTCACTTCAGCTACTGAATATGTTGGTAAGCAAGAAATTATGGTAGGTAATGGAAACAGACTGCATATTGCACATTTTGGCATAACTAATCTGCCTACTTTAAACAGTAAATCACTCGTGCTAAACAAGCTTTTGCATGTACCTGAAATCAAGAAAAACCTCATTAGTGTGTCACAATTAATCTCTGATAATCAGGTTTACATGGAATTTCATTCTAATTATTGTTTTGTCAAGGACAAGCTAACGAGAGAAGTGGTGCTGCGAGGGAGGCTTAAGGAAGGATTGTATCAGCTAGATTTCCCTCACTATAATTCTGGTTTCAAATATTACATAACATTCCTTGATGACTGTAGCAGATTCACGTGGATTTATCCCCTAAAACAGATATCTGAAGCACTAAGTATTTTTGTGCATTTTAAGAAGTTAGTTGAGAACAAGCTTGCAAGGAAAATAAAAACCTTGCAAGCTGAGTAGGGAGGAGAGTTTAGAGTCTTCAAAAGCTTTTTGTCACAAGAGGGCATTGGATTTAGACATCCATGTCCATATACCTCTGCCCAGAATGGAAGAATTGAAAGAAAGCACAGACAAATAACTGAAACATGCATCACCTTTTCAAGCCAAAATACCTTTAAAATATTGATGGGAATCCTTTCAAACTGCAACTTACCTGATTAACCCAATGCCTACACCTTTGATTAAAATGCAGTCCCCTTGCCTTGTTCTATTTGAAAAAAAAAAAAATTGATTACAAGTCATTAAGGGTTTTTGGTTGTGTTTGCTACCCTTGCCTCAAGCCTTACCAAAGGCACAAGTTCAGTTATCAGTTATCACTCAACAAAATGTGTTTTCATTTGATATAGTGATTCTTATAAAGGATATAAATGTTTATCCTCCACAGGTAGAGTCTATATATCAAGACATGTTGTCTTTATGAACATGAGTTCCCTTTTGAGTCCTTGTTTTATGTCCAAAACCAACAAAACTCTGTGATACCTGAGTTTGTGATAACCTATTTTTAGTTTTCAACTCAACCAAATGGTTTTGAACATACCTCAAATTCTGCCGATACATTACTTCCTAAAGCAACCTATGCTGAGCATCACACACCTCTCAGCTGAAGTGATAGTTAATTTGAACATATCAGTAATGGAAGAGATGAAAATGGGAGCAATGAGGATATGAACAATCAAGCAATAAGTCAAAGAGCAGAATCAGAACTCGAACCACCTCAAAATGATGAACGGGGTGAAACAAATTCCTTGGCAAATCAACAAAAAATCAGACCTCAGTTAAGAGCAAGGGACTTAGTAGGACATCCTATGATCACAAGAGCAAAGGTAAGAGTCTTTAAACCTAAGGCATTTTTGGGCAAATCAGTGGCCAGCAATCTTGAAATATCAGAACCAAGAAGCACGTATAAGGCCTTAATGAGCAACGAGTGGAAGAAAGCCATGGATGATGAGTTTAATGCCCTGATGAAAACCAACACCTGGAAGCTTGTACCACCATCACCAGCTTACAACATTGTAGGAAGCAAGTGGGTTTTCAAAACAAAATACAACACTGATGGATCAGTTCAAAGGCTTAAAGTGAGATTGGTAGCCAAGGGATTTCATCAGGAGCCTGGAGTTGACTTCTATGAGACTTTCAGCCCAGTAATCAAAGCATCAACCTTTCGAGTTGTACTTGCTATGGCAGTGTCAAAAGGTTGGGCAATCAGACAGGTATCAATAATGCATTTTTGAATGGTGAACTTGAGGAAGTTGTATATATGAACCAACCAGAGGGCTTTGTGGATCTTTCAAAACCAGACCATGCCTTCAAACTAGAAAAGGCAATTTACGGGTTGAAGCAGGCACCTAGAGCATGGTATGACAAATTGAAGTCAACATTGATGAATTGGAAGTTCAAGCAATCAGTTGCTGACACTTCCTTGTTCTACTTCAAAAATGACAATCAAATCATCCCAGCACTAACAAAATCGATTGTTTTAAACAATTTATTTGCTGACTTAGAGCTTAATACTCGGTTGACCTCTTTATATAAAAAAAGGGCGAACCGCATTTTTTGCGACCTCCACCTGTCCTATTTTGGACCTTGGTGAAGGAGGTAAATCGCAAATTATGCCTCCAAGGGTACAGGGTGGAAAGTTACTTGTACACTTGCACTTACCCAATGACCAAATCCATATTTCAGAATACGAACCCTTGACGCAGCAGCCTCAAGTAAAACTGGAGTTTTTCCATCTTTCCCTTTTACCACTTGGAGGTGTACCTTGGGGGGCGGTTGACCTCTTTATATAGCGTATATATGTGGGGGTGACGACCACGTTAAATTTGCAGTTGAATACGCACAATAATAATGAAAATTAACTAAGTTATTGACTTCAATGTTTAATAGATTTTTTCCTCCTAACAAAATCGATCGTTTTGAACAATTTATTTGATAACTTAGAGCTTAATACTCGGTTGACCTCTTCATATAAAAAAAGGATGAACCGCATTTTTGGCGGCCTCCACCTGTTCTGTCCTGGACCTTGGTGAAGGAGGTAAATCGCAAATTATGCCTCCAAGGGTATAGGGTGGAAGGTTACTTGTACACTTGCACTTTTCCAATGACCAAATCCATATTGCAGGATACGAACCCTTGAAGCAGCAACCTCAAGCAAAACTGGAGTTTTTCTACCTTTCCCTTTTACCACTTGGAGGTGTGCCTTGGGGTGGTTGACCTCTTTATATAGAGTATATATGTGGGGGTGACGACCACGTTAAATTTGTAGTTGAATACGCACAATAATAATGAAAATTAACTAAGTTATTGACTTCAATGTTTAATAGATTTTTTCCTCCTAACAAAATCGATCGTTTTGAACAATTTATTTACTGACTTAGAGCTTAATACATATTTGACAAGTGGTTAAAATATTTGTATTTACTTTAAAATCCTACTAAGACCTTGTATGGGAGGGATTAAAATCAGATTAAAATTGAAAATATAGCCGTTATTGTTGACTTTTATTAGATGAGTGAGACTCAATAACGGCCATATTTTCAATTTTAATTGGCTTTTGATCCCTCCCGAACGGGGCCTAAATATGTGAATTAAAAATAATTTGACTTTTAGGTAATGTTTGTAAATAATTGCTAATTCTTTAATCATCCGTCGTTTGTTGAATTAAATACGATTAGTTACGTTGAACTAGGTCTCTATTTCGCCCATATTTCTCAAAACTCATTTTTTTTTTCAAATTCATTTTCAATCACACATTTAATGAAATTTGCAATTTCTATCAACTTTTTTACCACACATTTCATTAACTTTTATCAAAATCTAATAAAAATCTATTTCTTATCCAAACCAAACAAGGGCTAAATATGATAAGTTTTAACTTTTATTTAATTTATAGTACGTATAAGTTGTACAAATTTTAAATTTTTTAAGAAAAAAATTTAGATTTGACACGAAAAAAAAAATCTGAGTCAGCTTGACCCAAAAGCTCGAGCCAACCCTCGTTTTTTGGTCGAGCTTTTGCTTGGCTCGGCTCGAGTCAAAAAAAGCTCGGCACTTTTAGGTTCGAGCCAAGCCCGAGTTTCGGCTCGTGGCTCTGCTTGACTCAGCTCGTTGTCATGACTAGTTTTTCCTAATATAAAAATTAATTATTCATATTGTAAAAATAAAAACAAGCAAAAGTGGAACAACATCACGAAAAATTGACGAAACGTGAAATTTCTGGTGTCTGCGTGCATAATTATTTCCGCCGTCAGCTACCTCTCTCTCTTTCTTTCTCTTTTTCTTCTCTGTGTGTAGGTATGTACGTATAATATATATATTTCTCAACCAAGGTAGCCGGCCAATATATGTGTGTATGTGTATATTGTTTTCATCCACAGCCTCTCCCCTCCCTCCTTTTCTGTCTACGTGGATATATATATATATTATCTTCCAACAGCTGCCAATTTGTTGTTGTTCCTCTCTCCGTGCATGAGTGTGAATATATAGTATAATTCACAACTCTTTTTATTCTTTTTAAGGACTCCAAGCTCATTGACAATTCCAAATTGAGGCACAATTAATTTCAATGCCTAATTAAATTAATCATTGCTTTCAAGTCTCCAATTCTTTTGTTGCAAGTTAGTCATTGAAACAAATTTATTTGTACAGTACATGTCATTTAGTCCTTATCTCTAATAATTGTTTAGGATCTCAAACGAGTGTAGAAATTATACTTATTATTGATAATTGTTTTACATCTTCATAACATCCTTCAAAGATCCAATAATACATTCAAATGTTGAGATTAACCTTTTGATTCTTGAAATCAATCAACCACAAGTTTTGAAAAAACATCTAGAACAACTAAAAAGTCATTTGTTGCTTTTAGTTGGTAAGTTTAATTCCGCATTATTCAGCTATTATGTGATTTTAGGGTCGAACTAGTAACTTTCATTAACAATTGATAATTATTCATAATTTGAAGTAATATTATTAATATAAATTATACTATTAATATTAAAATTTTGAATTATAACCTGATTTATGAATAAATAAATTTTAAACCTCTCTTCCTTCTCACAAACCTCTTAATCTACCACAAGCTTCGTAATTTCTCTATTAATGATCAACAATCATAGCATAGTCGATGATTGTTGACAATTTTTGTCAATAGTCACAACGGGGTGCGCCGATGATGACCAATGATATTAGTGCCAAAAATATTGTTAATGCTCTATTGTCGACAACATTATTGATGAAATTGTTGTTTATAATCCCTGACAGCAAGCATCGGTAATTCCACCCGAAATCATTGACAGTTATTAATTTCCTTTATATTATCTACAATAATACTATCGACGATAGCCATTTGCTCCATTTAATTTATTATTATTATTTTAAAGCTCGCCCAGCTCATAAATTGTTTGAACCTTTGTTAGCAAACATATACACATTTCAACAAAATTAGGAATCAATATAACAATAGACGACACTGTATAGTGTATATCCTTATATTTACCCTAATAAAACAAGTAAAATTATCTTGTAGAGGATGGCGAAGGTCATCCTTGGCTCTGTATCTCTGTCAAAAAATGAACGTTCGATTAGCTTCAATGTCCATGGAGACCTCTTGAGTTAACAGCGGCGATGGCATTCCTGTAGACAATAAATGTACAAGGACTCAGTTGCAATAATAGCAAAACTCGCTTGCATACCCAAACCTCACCAAAACATCCAAATATGGTTTCGACTTGTACTTGGAGCCTTGAGACATTTACATTGTCTCATGTTTGTCGGATTGAAAACCCGTTAATGGCAAGTTCAAAATAATGAGTCAAAAATGGTTGTTAAAAATAGATTTAGAAATCCTATTTTATCTTTTAATTCGTATTTTGACCTCACCAATTTCGATTTATTTTCTAGCTATGTTTTTCACTCATCGAGATAGATTGCCGATACCTTCTCGAAGTATTCATGACAAACTTTTAATGCATCTTTCAAACTTAAAAGCCATTAAACAGGGAGTTTAAAACAATGAATGCTTGATATTAATCCAACTATTTAGAGTAATATTATTAATTGGGGATGAAAACACAGTCTATATGGTTTTAAATGATAGATTAAATGAAAAGTGAAATTAAAAGGGGATTAAAACACAGTTTATATGATTTTAAATGATGGGTTAAATGAAAGGTAAAATTAAATGAATTATTTAATTTCACCTATCATTTAATGTCATATTGACGTCATGTAGACTGTGTTTTCATCCCCAGTGAGGATGAATAGCATTACTCAACTATTTATCATACAATTACCAATGCAACGTAAACTTTTTTTTCAGCTTTGTTTCAGGTTAGATTCTTCCTATAATATGACAAACTTCACAACGCACATTGTTATACGATGAGTTTAGAATAACAAGCCAAAAAGACTATAAGAATTGAATTTAATATTTCGATTTCATTTCTATTTTTAGACGCCAATTTAACTAAAGTTCTATTTGACCATTATTTCACTTGTCACGCTCATAAATAACTATAAAAATATGACACAATTTTGAAACGTTCCAAGTCTCTTAAATAATTTTGTTATAAAATAAATAAATAAATAATAAAATCAGAAAACCTTGCCCCTCTTTCTCCCAGAGTACAAGGCCTCGACTGGGGTACTGTTAAGAGGTACAGTGTATTTTAACCCCTGTTTCACGTTCATTAAAATGAGTTTTTTGTAAATAATAATGTTTAGAATAGTAATTTTGTTGGAGAGTGTAGTTACAAATTGAGAAAAAATTGAATTTACGTGCAAAATATTCTATTATTTAAATGTGTAATTGAAAATGAATTTGAGAAAGGAAAAAAAGGTTTTCATTTCATGGATGTGCAACAGGGGCTTAATATCGTTGACAGTCTACAGAGGTCCAAACAAGTGGATTTAAAACATGCCAAAATGTTCAATCTTAATCCAAAATAAAATAATTAATTTCACAGACTTGAGACAAATTCCAAACAACTTCCTAACCCACAAAAGAGAAATGACAGAAACAGCTAATCAAGGATGCTGAGAGCAAGCCACATACATCACTGTACATAAATTACAATATCAAATCTCTTCATCCACTTTGAAACTCAATCCTTTATCAAGTAAACCCCTTCCAATGCCTTTCAAAGTATTCCCAAGATTGTGCTATTGAAAAAGGCTAGTCACTGTCCACCACCAACTTTTGTTGCAAAAAGAATCCTTCACTTCAACAAAACAAAACAATTACGCATCATTCCGAGGACAATAGAATGTTTATACGCTGCTCCTTGTAGAGTTTAAGAGTCATTAATCAACCAAGAAGCTTGTGCTTTATGGCTGTATCCAGGAGTAGTCGAAAGCAGTTCTTTAATATATCAAGAAGCTGCATTCCTCTTTTCTTCAAGTATCGCACCCTCTCTAAGTGCAATTTGCGCCTCATTCTCCTTCCCTAAAGCAAAAAGAGCAGCAGCTTGCAAGTAAGACGCTATATGCCAAACAGGAGAAATGACTTGTGCTTGTACTGCATCATTGAGGGCCTCCTGCGCATTATCGCTCATGAGGTATGACAAACTACGGCGAGCAAAAACAGTTGGGGAGACCATTGTACCAACATCAATAAACTGCAGCAACATAGTTGTAGGAGAATGTTAATTATTAGACTGCTGAAAATTATAGAGTGTACAAGAGTTGATAGGACAATAGCCGAAGAAATAAAAAATGTCAATGAGATCAACAATGATTTTCATTATTTTATTGGGTTCACTCTTCAAAAGTGAGTACGGATTAATTTGTGCGCAGGTAATTTTTTTCCTTGCCTGCGTGTAACAATCAATCGCAGCCCCAGATTCTTTATGCCGGAAAGCTACATCACCCTTTTTCTTGGAGTTCAAAGTTTCCTGCATNGAGAGAGAGAGAGAGAGAGAGAGAGAGAGAGAGAGTGGTTGTTTTGGAAGTGGAAAAATGGCTTTTAAGCAGAAATAAACCTCTGTTGCAGCTCCCTCGTCATCTTTGTACCCAAGTTTTTCTAAAATCTCATGCATGGCAGTCAGATCCATCCTTAAGCATGCTTCACCAAGTGCAGATAGTGACATAACCTCCCTACCATGAGGAATGCCCATCAATACATTGGAAGGAACCTGCAAGATGAAATGTGGCCAATACAACTTAATATACTACACCAGTCTACATACAATTAACCAAAATGAAAGTGACCCTCGTTCAATCATAGAGAATGTATTTTACTTTCCAATTTTCATTTCATGGAACTATGACATTCATATGAATAATGCTACTTATCATCACGATGATAAATCATCGGTGATGTGGCAACCCATTATCTCTCTCTCTCTCTCTCTCCCCTCCCCCTCTTCTCATATAAATTGAAATGTCAAATCCAATTATTCTACATAGACTCTCACATCATCGATAATTTATCATCATGATGATAAATAACATTATTCCATTCATATGAATATAGAAGAATACACGTGCACGCAGAAATAGTGACCGAAAAAAAGGATATTTACAATATTCAACTATCATCTTTTTTGTTAAACACTCCAATAACTGATGTCTTGTATCTCGAGAAGCATGTCTAAGACGACACTGACTACTAAAACTTTATAAATAATTGCAAACAATTGGCAAAGATTACATCAGTCGAACAAGCTTTCGGTACTGAAACTAAAATTAGGATATTCCGAAGTTTCAGATACGCAAACAATTGACAGTTCAATTGTTCTTGAATTGGGGGATTCAAAGTCAAAAGATTACCTCTCAAGAATTGTTCTCCCCATCTATTCTATCCGAGCAAAAAATACTAAATACTGTTTGAATTATATAATCTTGCTTATACTAATTTGCTATGTTGCTCGAACTCGGGTACGGGTATCGGGTAAGGGTATGTATCTAAGTGTCGGATCCATTATATTCTAAAATATAGGATACGAGGATATGGCTAAAAAGGAGTCCAAATTTTGGACACAGGTACGTAGGTACGTCTTTCAAATTTCAATTTTTTTTAATTAACCCCATATGTCATTTTAAATAGATCAAAATCAATACTTCACAAAGAAAGAAATGAGTATTGAATAAAGAGTTAAAACGAATAAAATGAAATTTTGGGGTTTAGTTTTCAATTATGGAAAGTCAATTACTAAATGTTATATAAAATAGAAAATAAGAGATTGCATTATAATTTAAACTTAATGGAATACTAAGTTGCACTATATGGAACTCATTTTCATTTCATAAAAAGAAAACCCTAAACCGTCGATATAAAGAGGAAAGAAGGAAAAAAAGAAGAAAAGTCAAAGAGAAAAGATAGAAGAAAAAAGAAGGGAAAATCTTATGCCGTTGCCGAAGAAGAAAAGGGGAAAGAAAAAAAAAAAAGAATAAAAAGAAAGAAGCAAAAATGACGAAGTGTCCAGTTGAAATTTGAAGGATCCGACACATATTCCATACCCATGCCCATATCGTGTCGTGTCCGACACGCGTACTTCGTCCATTTCGAAGAGTCCGAGCATCAGAGCTAATCTGAATAGATATGGTTGTAAGTGAATCACCCTTTATGACCAACAGCCTAAAAGAAAAATTTATTGACATTGCTTTGAGAGAAACTAATTCGTAGTTATCTCCATAACAAATGTGACGCAACTGGGAATACAATGAAACAAAAACTAGACGAGGCATGTTGCTTTTTGGTGTGATAGCCACTTACAACACAGTCCTAGCAAGTAGAATCCAATGAAATAGTCAACATTTTTAGAATGTAAACTCTGCAGACAAGAATAAAAATAATGTACAAAAGCAAATGAATAAATGTTAAATAACAATTCAATTCTGAGAGCCTATTTGATGCAGTTTTTTGAGAATATATTTTGCCAAAAGTGATTTTGGAGAATGTGTGGTTAAAAAGTAGATGGGTCCTCGTGCAAAAATTATTTTATTGGAAGAATGTGTGGTTGAATATCAAACAGGGGCTTAAAAGCTACATATTCAGATAAAAAACCAACCTCAGTTTCCTTCTGAAGAGGAATTAAAGCAGCAACTAATGATTTAGGATTTGGTCTCTCACGGGGTTCATATTGCAAACACCTAGACGCTAGACGTACTAACTCAGTTCCATCATCATTCGAAAATTGACCTTCCAAGCAAGAATCAGTTAGCTTCTGAAGGTTCCGATCCTTTATCAAATCAAGGGCCTGAAACAAATTAAATAGAATATTAGACGCCAACTGCATGTTATTACATAATTAACATTCAACTACACCGCAAAGCTGCTAAGAAATTAAAAGAAAGAAATGCTAAAACACAAACACGGAAAAAAGAGCTAAAAGAAACTGGTAAATCAAATTCATGAGAAATCATCATTTTCAATCCAACAGATCTGTCATGATTCAATGCAAAGACAGAAAATCAGACTTTGAAAAGAGAACATATACTGTGGTAAAGTACATATTCAAGGTGCCTACATTCGAAGATGGGATCTTCACATAGAAGATACTTTATTTAACCCTTTCATAATCGTTAGTTCAAATTATTTAATTCGGGTTTCCCCAAATATCTCTGAATCACTGAATGCAACTTGACATGCCTTCATATCTTATTACGAGAAAAAAAGGGAGAAAGGATGCTCGGTGTATGACAAATCAATGAAGAGCAAAGTTATCTCCCTCAAGTTCTAATCAACTTACTTCATTCAAAAAGTAAATAATAACACACTTGGAATCTACCATTGGCATCTTAACACGACTCTTAGTCATTTGTAGAAAGGGTACATGAGTTGCATTTTAAACAAAACAATATCTAATTCAATTGTTTTATGTATAAACTATAGTTTCTTCTGCCACATAGGAGGAAAATAGTAGGAACTCTAGATAGGAAGGGAAGCAGATAGAGGACGTTATTGCCATGTTTGGTAGCACAGATTAGCCGGTACTTGATGATACTGAATAAGAAAAATAAGTTAAAATTTTGTTTAAAGAACTGTACGATTTTATAGTGTTTGCTAAATATGCACCAGGTGCACAAGGGTGCACTACTAGATTCGAACTCTATCAAGTACATCGATATGTGGCATCGACCGGCCAGGGTACAAATTTTTTCTTGATATTGAATAGGAATCTGCAATATGTGGGAACAATGAGTTCAAGCAGAAGGTTAGTTGTAAAAAGTGTAACAGATAATTGGTGGTTACCCTGCTTAAACTGACGAAAGCACCTTAAAGCTAAAGTCAGGTGATAATTATCTCAAGTATGAAAAATAAAGTTCTCAAGAATTACTCTGTGTCTCAGTGCATTGCAACTAAAATAGGTTTTTCGAGGGTTTTTCGAGTCAGTTATCAGAAAGATAACAATGTAATTAGCCGGCACATTGTCTACATCAAAATCATCTTGCATTGTCAAACTTAGCACCAACAGACTTACGTGGCTTGGGGGAATGTGTTTTCCACTGAGAAGGTCAAGCAAAAGAGTGCCAAAGCTGTACGTTACGCTTTCTGGACTAACTCTTCCTACAAAATTAAATTAAACACAACATTGAACAATCTCAGAACGTAAGTGTTAAATGTGGGTTTTACATAGAATATAGAAAAGAAACATATTAAGAAATAGACATCAAGCCAACGCCTAACAGGCTAATACATAAAATGCAGTGAATCGAAAAATTCAAAGCAATAATAATCTGAAAATACATTAAAGGTCCGAAGTGCCTCATAGTCAAATTGTCTATCTTTACTATTTTTTGAAATTAAACACAGATCAGTTGACAGTCTCAGAACATGTGTCAAATGTGGGTCTACACAGAATATAGAAAAGAGTTCAAAACATATTAAGATGAATTGATATCAAGCCAATGCCTAATAGGCATTAACATAGAATGCATGAATTGAAAATTTTGTAACAATCATAATCTGAAAATTCATTAAAGGTCTGCATTGCCTCATAGTCAAATCGCCTATCTCAACCATGCATGGATTTAAGAAAACGTGTAACTCAGCAGGTAGTATCCTTTAAAGCATCTAATTCCGACCCCAAGAGAGTTTACTCAACCCATTCCCCAGTTTTCCGCACTGCTCAAGTTAGTGTGAGACTCCATATGAGGACCTTCTCTTGTGCCCACTCTCTGTCCACACGGTTCTCATCTAGAAGTTCATAGTTTACACATCAAAAAAAAAAAATCTAAATGGAACCCAAAAAGAATATACACGAAGAAGTATTTGAAATACATTATGAAACACCAAGGGAAACTTGGATCATGCTCCAAAAGAACACAAGACAAGACTCTAAGCTTCTCCAAAAAATTCAAGAAAACTGAGGATCTCAGAAGGCTTCACCTGCTTTAGAACTCTGTGCTTGAAAACTTTCAGATTTCATCCAAATCCCAGAGAAGATCAATTATTTTAATTTTCATTCGCCTTTACCAATATAAGAATGTCATACTACCATTAAGTAATAACTACCATGTAAATATAATGATTGAAAGAGTTCCTCAGAAAAAATTAATAACATTTTGCTCCCACAAATTATTGGCGCACCAACACTCGAACTTTCAATTACACCATTATCCAACTCACACTTCTCATTACTTCCCAACCAACCCTCCATTAGCTAGTTATATAAAGTCAACACCAGTACAACAAAAGATGCAAACTTAGGTCAAAATAAGAGGTATAACACATTGATGCCATGTAATTATCATCCCTCTTAGTTTGTGAAGCCTCCCCCTGCCCCAACTATATACTGAGAAAAGTGACTTGCCTTAATGCCAGGACTCAAATTGATCCTTCAACCATATAACACATTGACTCTTTATGCGGGTGAAAGGTGCAGAATTTCGACTTCCACTACATGATGGATCAGCATACAGCAAAATAGTATATAATAAAACTCAAGTCCAAACTTACTTATTGGTCAAAATCAAATGCATGTTATTCTTGGAATTTTTCTTTTTCTAGGAGTACTATAATATGGTACTCAAGAAACCGTGGAAGTGGGTTAGTTTGGGATATTAAGTTACATTAACTAAGCTTCTTCCGGGCTAAAAAGATTATTATCATTTTATTTTCAGCTATTGCACTTATGGCTATCAACAACAGTCCCATGATTTGCAGACAAAACTCAAACTGAGAGAGAGCTAATAAACTGAGAATAAATATTAGTGTTAAAATAATATATGAAGATATTCTGACACATGATCTCCAATGATTTGTGGTAGTCTCCAAACATGAACCATGGCTTCTACATTAAATTGCATTGAGATCATACTTTCATTAGGTGAGCATTGAGCAAGAATTCCTGATGTATTATGACTGGTTTTAACACATGATAAGTGTGAGTGAAGAACTCATCATAAAATATTTCGAAAGCTGAGTACGGCATGTACAAAGCTGCCAGAATTTATTCTTTGACTCCAAGTAATAAGTGATTATCATCTTCTAAAGATGATGGCAGGGAAATTTTCATAATAGGACCCATTGATCTCAAAACACGACATTCCAAGAAATAAATAGAAATGACTGCCATTTAAAACTAATTTGGCTTAGGGGACTTATTTCTAGATTGAGAGATAGTACCAGTCCTTAGGTACTCCGGTGGAGTAAATGCCAAGTTAGTGCTGTAGCTTTTGCCATCTCTACTGTTCTTCATCAAACCAAAGCATGACAATCTGGGATTCCCATCCTGTGACAAAAAGGGAAGAAAAACAAAAGTGTAAATCTTGCACATATTTTGTCAATAAACACTTTGAACAATGCAGGCTCAAGAAGAAAAGAGAGAATTAGGATCAAAATAATTTTATACTTACATCATCAAAGACTATTCTGTAAGCATTAAGATCATGATAAAGTGCACGTCCTTTGCTAGTACAATATTCCAGGGCCTGTGCAATATATAAAGCCACCCTCAACCGCATTGCCCACTTCATAGGTTGTGTCTCCCCTGAACAACATGCAAATGAAACTTAATAATAGCAAATAGATTAATGGTCCAAATACAATTAGGTTACAATGAAAGAGCATACAACACGTCAGCAAACTTAATCCCAAGTGCTAACTGTCAAAGAAATTAAAGAATCCAAAAGTTTAAGATTAAAACTCTTTTAACTGTGGGAAACAAAACCCCAAATATGCACTCAATATTTACACCAGCATCTATGCCTACACAGCTTTCTTCATTTTGATCACTCTATTGGGTTAACAGGGAGAGAGGAATTTTTGGAAATTAGGCATTTATATGATCAGTTTCAATGATCACTGTTCACCTAAATTGGCTTAAATATTAAACAACTTGGCATACTAGCACATGTCCATACAGTTAAAAAAATTGAATAGAAATATGAAAGGCACAAAGGTTTTTTCCATTTAGAATGTAGAAGAGCAAATGATGTAGGAGAGCATTAGATGCAGATCATCTCTCTTGTCATATGTTACCGTCCCAGATTAGTGAGATACGCTTACAATTTTAGACATGACTTACCTTAATGGTTTAGACTGGAAATTAACTTAGAACCTTTGGCAAAAACTAAAGACTATAAGTTCGATCCCTCTTTATAATTATACTGATTAAGAAAGGCTGTTACATTACATCTGTAGACAGCAAAGGCTGGCCATACCAGCATCAAACAGATAATAGCATTTTTCAACCTCCTTGACACTTCCCGCCATGTAGTTGATGAAAAGAGAATTCACTTATATTTCAAACAAAATATAGAAAAGAGCCTATGCAACAACAACAGAGGACAAATAAGTTAAAAAGTAGAAATTAAGCAACCTTCATAATTACTTTACATATAAAAGAACACCTATGCAATATTAGAAATAAATTGGAATGACTATAAATAGATTGCATGTAATGTACTCACAGTGAAATAGATGTTTTGCAAGTGTCTCGTTGGGCATAAATTCAGCAATAAGCAACCTCTCGTCTCCTTCACAGCAGCAGCCAATCAAATTGGCCAATCTGTAGCTCCGAAGTTGGCCAACAGCTCTTGCTTCATCCTAAAGTTTCAGCAAGGAAAACTTTCAATTTTATTATGAGCAATTGAGTAAATAGGTAATTTAAAAAGCTACTAGAGCGCCGTAAGACCATATAATATTAAGCTGTAAGTAGTTGTCGCTATCCCGAACATCTGATATGGAGAAGATAAAATCACAAACACTGAGCTAATAAATAAAGCTGACAGTTATCCACAAAATAATAACTTCTGAAATTGAGGTGGACTGAAACTAGAGATAAAGGGTGAACAAGAGACTCCATCGATTATATACCCAGTAGTTAATAAACAAAGACCTTCCTGAAAATGGCATCTAATGCAAGAATACAACATTCAAAGAGCCACTAACCAAGAACTGCCGGGAATCAGGCCAAGCCGACCTGTTAAATCGTTTGACAGCAACCCGCCTCTGATTCTCCAGCTTTCCTTTATAGACGACATTAGGGGCTTTCTCCCCATGCTCCGAAACAATGTTCTCTACCGCAAAGCCAGATGTAGCTACCCTCAGTTGTTCAATGGAATATTCACGAAATGTAGGCAAATCGCTAACTTCACCTTTTTCCTCATTTTCTGCCAAATAAATGTAGATACTATTAAAACAGACTTTTTGATCGCACGAAAGGGGATAGGGAACTGTACCCATAAAAGGGGAAGCGGGAAAAGTTTTGACACACCAGCTTTTTGCGCCTCATGAACTGGTCCATTTTGCTCCGACATAAAACAACACGAGGTGAATTTTGAAAACTTGCAGCCCATCCTACGACCACCAATCAGAAGCAAACACAATTGAGCATTCAAAATTCCAAAATGCAACAAAAATGACAAATTCTTTAGCTCACATCTTACGTCAAATGTTCAATAAAATTTTGTACAAGATTAAAATCCATAAATAGGCACAAATAAAAGCTGATTGTATTGCAGTAAAGGGATAGCTCGAGTGACCACTCGCTCCAGCACATGTGTGCTACATATGTATGTCCGTAACATTAATGTGTGCGCTTATCCAGTGCGTAATTGTAATGGGTACAAGCTTTAATAAAGCAGAAGTTCCAATTATTTCGTCATATCTGTCAGCCACTTGTCATAAAACATTCCGCAAATTGGCATCTTTTTATTAATTCGTGAACACAATACAAACTTTCCGCACCAAACATGAATTACTCCCAGTTAATACCCTAAGAAGCTAGACTGGAAACTGGCAAACTAGTTTTGACAAACATTTAATTGTAAGAAAAAGGTACAAGCAACATAAACATTCTCGTGTTCTATTTGCAGTCTGGGTGATGTACAGAAATAAAGCTCAAATTTTCAGTTCAATCTCAATAGACTGGTCAGCTTAAAAAGGTACTAACAATTTAAATTACGAGAAAATTACTTTAGATTCAAATCTGGGTCAATTCTTTAACACAAAATTCTCACTTTCTGAATCCTATGTATTCCAACTTTCTGCAACGCTTCCCAGAAAAGGAACCTTTTTGCCTGAGACAACACAGTAAAATTCACCTGACCAGGATAGCATATTCAGTCAATCAAAGTCATCAATCAAAATCCACAATTCAACACCAACATCATTTATACAAAATTCAACTCCAACCCATTACTCAAAAAATAAAATAAAATAAGAATCAATTAAACTCATATTACAACATATAAGGTAAAAAGGAAACAAAACCCATATGCCTGAAATGAAAAATAAAAAAGAACCCATATAAATGCTAAAGAAACAGTCAATGAACCTTAAAAGATCTTCATGATTACCGATTTGGTCAAAGCACAAGTGAAATACTTCGACGATACGTTTGTTTGGGTAATAATTTGTATGGAAAGTTATCTGGATAGGTTGTAGCTGAATATAGAGTCTAAAAAGATCGATCAGAAAGATAGAGCAAAATGATTCAGGCGTATATATGTATAGACAGATGTGTATAAATATGGATATATAGATACAGATGTCTTTTATTGTGTGCGTCTGCGCGTAGATCTCTTCAGTTGGTGGTGCAGTGTTGGGAGTATACTTTTCCTTTTTTTTCTGTCTTTCCACCGACCTAATAATATCCGTTTTTTTGTTTTTCTTCTTTTATTTTCATATTTTGTTTAAGACTAAGAGCATAAAAATAAGTTAAAATTTACTTTTAAATTGTTATTTTATCGAAAAGAATTAATTTTTTTACCAACCAAAGATGAATTTTGAAAAGGATGTATGAACTTATTCAGTAGATAGTGTAAAAACAACTTTTTATTTTCTATATTCTGTTTTGGATACGATACTGAGTACCCTGTAAACTTGTTTAAATGTATTTTTTAAAAAAAGTTTAAATTTACTTTTAAGTTGCTTATTTTATCAAACCTAAATTTTAAAATTGCCATTTTTACTAACAAAAATTATATTTTTTACTTACAATTTTTTATAACATTCTAGTTAAAATAGTCTTAACTCTTGATTTTTCTACAAATTTCTATATAATTATTTAATTTATCAGGCATTGACTTTTCTATTTTATCACATTATTTGGTATTCATTTGGGATTCACATCTCGCACTTGCCCACCCAAACATGCATATCGATAATACATTTGGAAAATTCTCAAGTGTTACAATACCCCTTTTTGTATAAATTTGAATATTCAATATATTTATGTTGATACATAGCATAAAAACTAATATATTATTTCCATAGTTGAATGTTTAACATTGAGATATCGATACATTTGAACAGTTGAATATTTTTGAGTTTGGTTCATTTGAAACTTGTTATAACAACCTCAAATCATTTATTACTTGAAAAAATGAAATAAAGTTGAAGGGTTCGACGATCTAAATTCAAGTCTCTACAACTCAAATTTAGTGCTTGTTTGGTAGCAATTTTTGGCCCAATTTTAATTAAAACTGTGACCGTTTAATGTTGTCAGTGGGACCCGCATGTGAGAAAGTCAATCAAACTTTGCGGCTGACTTTGATGTTAACAGCCAAAAATTTCATTTTTTTGGTTAGAAAAATTGCTATCAAACACAGTCTTAATGATTTTTGGATATTTCGCCCACAATGAAGAATTGGAGTTTCAACTCAAAATGTCAAGTGATTAGATAGTCTCTTAATAAAAAAAAAAAAAATCAAATTCGCTCTTATTTCTAATTAAAGCAAAACGTTGAATGTCTTCCACTTTTCTACGCTGAATGTATGTGTTCGTGAAATCACATTGGCAAATATTAAATTTACAATAAAACTTAAAAGAAGACTTGTAAAAAAAAATAGATTGAAGGACGGATATCACTCTCTTTATGGAGATTTCAGCCATTTCCCTTGTTGGAATTGCAACTACTACCAATTAACTTGTCCTTTCCATAATACGATAACCAAAGTAAAATGACACATATTTTAAGGCCATGTTTGGGAGGGATTTTGATTTTTCTACAGTAAATCAATTCTCATTTTCAACCACACATTCTTCAATAAAATAATATTTTCCATCACATCAATAGTTTTTTCTTCTTTTTCAACCACACATTTCTCATCATATCACTTAGAGAGAATATGTAGTTGTAGCCCCAAAGTGTAAGACAGCAGTCGAAAGGTTATGATATATATATTTGTTTGATTATAATATTATTTAAAAACAAATTAAATCTCATAACACTATGTTCTTTATTTTTATAATCCATTTTAACAGTAGGAATACATAATGATTATAAAAAAACCCCATTTCCAAAAACATTTTCAAAATTGTCATCCCCTAAAAAAATGATTGCGAGAATCACCTACTGAAAATTACAAGATAAAAAAGGCGAACAGATAAAATAAAGTACAATAATAAATTAACAATAGTCCATGAATATTACAAAAGGATATTAAGACAACCAAACAAGAATATGTTGCAAAATTAAATAAAAGCAACGAGTAATGAACGTTGTAAAAAGCAAAAAAAAAAATAATGTTCACTGAAGTCCTTTTGCAATGGTTTTTGAACGTTGTGGTATTCTTCTACTCTATGATAACAGTAAAGCCCTCAACATACATCCAAACGTTGCAAAGGGTCTTTCAAAATATATTTTTGCCGATTGCAGGAAACAAAACTCATTTTACAAATAATATCTTTGCAAAATGTGTAGAATATTCGAGATGAAGATTGTTTTCCTTTTCTACAAACGTCTAATCTTTCTATTCTAGATCTTCCATATTGTTGTATGCTTTCAGTGATGGGAAGCTCAATTCAAAGAAGGTCGTGTTTGACTCAATTGCGAGCCTACGATAAAAACAACTTTATATTGAATGATTGCGCTCATTATGTAGCTTTTGGACCTTTCACTATCTACATCAATATTTTTTAGATTTGCAAACCCACATACGAATAAAATTAAAATATCACTTTCATAATTCATCATGCTACTCGTCTTCAAAATCGCATAAGCTATTGTGACAAAATGATTTTTGAAGGTCTTTAATTTGGAGGGCTTGTAGCTTTTTATTTATTATTCAATAATTTGAAATAGATTTTACTTTTCTTTCAATATGGGGTTAATTTATATCAATAGTCGCTGAAGTTTTGAGTAATTATGTCAATGGTCATTGAAGTTACTTTTTTTATAGTAATAGTCACTAAGTTTCTAATTGTTATATTCATAGTTATTCGGTCAAAAAAATTAACTTTGAATTTTACGTGGGACTAAATGGCAATGTATCTCCAAATGACTTTATTCATTACTTCAAATACATAGCAAAATTCGAGAGTTAGAAATGGGCGATTAAACATGTTCAGATGATTTTAGTTTTGTTTGGATTTATTTGGCATAAATCATATAGTAAATTTACATTTTTTGAACAACGATTTTTATTGACTTGACCTAATAAATAATAATGTTTGGTGGCATGTTGACACTTAATGGTGTCATGTAAGATTTAATATTAAATTTTTTATCGAGTGACTATAAATGCAATTGTTTAAAACTTGAGTGACCATTATTGTAAGAAAATAAATTCAGTAATTATTTGTCTGCTAAAATAATTACTCAAAATTTCAGTGATCATTGACGCAATTAATACTCTAATTTGCATTCTTATGATATAAAAGAAATTAATTACAATTACAAAAACTGAAATTTGGGACGGGGGAAGGGTGGGGTGGGGTGGGGTGGGTTTCCTCTTGTATTTTTCTATTTCCAACAATAGAGGAAGTCTTCAATTTTCACATAGAAAGCCCATATACTTATCAAAGATCGAATAGAATTCCATTTCCGACTGTTTTGTCGATGTATCTATAATACAAATAAAGAAAGATAGTTTTTATGCTGAAACAAGTAAAAGAGGACAGACTTAATAAAAACTAAATGACAAAAGTAGATAGGAGAAAGTAATTGTCTATTTCTATTTATGCATCAAAAAGAGCTGCCTTTATATAGGCTCATACATAACGATGAAAGCAAGAAAACAGGCACTACACAACGTGCCAAGACTAACACCTATTGAATATGTAAATAAAAAACTAACTTGGTGAACACAACAAATTCCCAGAAGGCTAGGACAACAACTAGCAAACAAAACTTGGTCTCAAAACTAACTTTTTCCAACAATCCCTCCTTTAAACTGATGTTCAAACATTCAGTTTAATACACAATTCAAAAACAAAAAACTCTGAAGTCCCTCAAATATCCAACATACAAACACCCAACAATTCTCTTAACTTCAGAAACGAAAGAAATTTGAGAGGCTTTATGAATATATCCGCAAGATCTCTTAGGAAATGAAACTTCACATCTATGTGCTTACTTCTTCCATGTAGAACGGGATTTTTGGAGAATTTGATTGATGAATTGTTGTCACTAAAAATTGCAGTAGGCTCTTATCTCTTGAAATGAAGCTCTTCAAGAATTCTCTTCAACCAATGGCTTGACATGTGCACGAAGTTGCAGCAACGAACTCAACTTCAACAGTTGATAGAGTGACGATTGATTGTTTCTTTGACAACCATGAAACAGCCCCTGAACCAAAGATAAAAACATAGCTTGAAGTACTTTTTCTATCATCTTGATCCACTACATAATCGAGGTCAGTAAAACCAATCAAGTCCGACTTCTCTCCCTTCTTGTAGAACAGCCCAAATTCCTTAGTACCTTGCAAGTACCCTAGTATCCTTTTGGCAGCTAGCATATGCATCTCTGTCGAATCTTCCATGTATCTGCTGATGAGACTCACTAAATACATTATATCTGGCGTTGTTGCTGTTTGATACATTAAACTTCCTACAATCTGCTTGTAAAGAGTTCCATCAACCTTCTTTCCTTCATGATCTTTATTTAGCTTCAAACCAAACTCGGTGTATTCACCGAATTGCAATTTTTCATCTGAAACCTATCTAAAATTTCTTTCACATACTTATTTTGAAAAATAAAAATTCTAGTAGCTGATTGAACAACTTCAATGCCAAGAAAATAATGTAGCATTCCAAGATCAGACATTTCAAATTCACTCATCATGGACTTTTAAAAATTTTCAAACATGGCCCTATCATTTCCAGTGAATTAAATCATCAGCATATAAGCATATAAAAAAACATATTTCCTCCATCTTCAATTTTAATAAAAAGATTATGCTCATATGGACGTCTTCTAAAACCTTCTTTCAAGAAATAGGCTTCTTTACGGCTGTACCAAGCTCTTAGAGCTTTTTTCAGCCCATATAGAGCCTTTTTCAACTTATACTCCTTATGCTCATTACCTAGCTTCACATAACCAGGAGATTGTTCAACAAATACCTTTTCTTATAAGTCTCCTTGTAGAAATGCTGATTTCACATCCAACTAGAAAATAGGCCATGAGTTTTGAGATGCCAATGCAATCACCAATCTGATTGTGTCACGCTTTGCAATCAGAGCAAATACTTCTTTGTAATCAACACCAAAGTTTTGCTTATAGCCCTTGGCCACCAAGCGCGCCTTGTACTTATCAATTTCTCCATTCTCCTTCAGCTTTGTTTTGTAAGCCCACTTGACACCTATAATCTTGTACCCTTTAGGAAGACCAGTTAGCTCCCATGTGTTGTTCATTTCAATAGCAATAATTTCATCATCCACCGCCTTCCTCCATTTCGCTTCTTTGACACCATCTTCAAAAACTGTAGGATCACAATCTGAAAATATAACAAAATGGGTAAGTGGATCCTCAGATTGATCAATCCCAGTTACCTCATAATCTTGCATCCACACTGGCCTCTTTCTAACACGTTGGGAACATGAAATTGCTACTGCATCAACATGTTCATCAGATTCTACTGCTGTTGGTGAAGTTTTAGCAGAAATCAAAGCTGAATTTGGTGGATTTTCGAGTAAAGAAACTGCTAGAGTTCGATGTTGTAGGGGATGCTGCCTTTCTTCTTGATTTTCACCATCAAAATCAGCATGTATATGTTGTTTGGAAGTGTTTTCATCCCATTTCGACAACCATCCTTCATCAAAAAAATTATGTCACGACTAATGACAATTTTCTTGGTGATAGGATTGTACAATTTGTACGCTCTTTATATCTCACGACCAAGAAAAATGAATTTTTCTCATTTGTCGTCAAGTTTTCTCCTTTTCTGATCTAGAATATGAGCATATGATATGCAACCAAAGATTCTAGAGTAGATGACACTTGGTTTAGGAACATTCCATGCTTCTTGAGGCCTCACAATTTGGACAGCAAGAATAGGAAATGAATGCTCCAGATGACTGCTTCAAGCCAAAAACTTCTTAGGATATGACCTTTTGATAGAATAGTCCGCACCATGTTCAGAATTGTGCGATTCGTCCTATCTGAAATGCCATTTTGCTGTGGAGAATATGCTGCTGTAAGTTGCTTTTGAATACCATGGTCCTCACAAAAACTTACAAATTCTTGTGAGGTGTATTCTCTACCTTGATCACTGCGAAAAATCTTAATAGGTTTGCCTGCTTCTTTTTCGACCAGTGTCTTGAAACTTTTGAAAGCTGAAAAAGTTTCAGACTTCTCCTGCAAAAAATAAACCAAAGTTTTCCGACTATTATCATCAATGAACATTATAAAGTAACATTTACCACCATTCAATGTTGGATTAATGGGTCTGCATTTATCAAAATGGACTAGCTCCAGCACTTTCTTCGCTCTCCGTGATTTTCTTTTAGGAAACTGATTTCGATGTTGTTTTCCAACTGCGCATTCTTCACAAGTTTGGGAAGGAGTCTGAATTAGTGGAAGTCACGTCACCATGTTCTTCTGCTATAGTGTTTTTAGACCTCCAAAATTCAGATGTCCATAGCGGAAATGCCATAACCAGCCCTTTTCCATC